ATACCGTACCTGCTGGTACCCAAGAATACCTATTTCTAGTGCCCTGCAAGAATTTTAATTGGTGAAGAGAGATATGGGGGATCTGTAGCCACTCAGTCATGAAAGGGTGTCAGAAAACTTCTTGGAGATCTCTTAGAGGGAAGCAAAAGCAAAGTAGTCTAAGAAAAATAAGTAGCCATCATAGAATAATGGCAGAAAATACAAGATGGTTGGTTGGCTCCCACAGAAATGGTCAAACAAAACGTGTCAGGCGGACGACACTGAGAAGGTGTATACGGCATTATGCTATCCTTATTGAAAAAAATATCTTAGTGCATTCTGCACTGCTCTTACAATTGATAAATACAGTTACAGATTTAAGTCATGGTTTGATTAAATGGAGGTAGATACAATGTTAGATCATAGGGGTTTTTGGGTTTTTTTTTTTTGTTTGTTTTGGGGTTTTTTTTGCTAGTAATGATGGGTATATTGAACGGATAAAATGCCCAGTATACAGATGGATAAGGTTTTAGATTCAGGAGTTTTGCCTGGACACAATATTTAAGGGTGGATGGATGGCAGAAGAGCAAACCACCTGCAGTGTGGTTGGACGGAAATGGCATGTTCCTACCAAGCAGAAACAGACCATAGGCCTGGCCATCCTTGAACCAAAAGCAACTGCTAGCCGAGGGCAAGTACTACTGGGGATGAAGGCTGCTGAAAACTGAACTTTTGGAGAGTAAGTAGACACTTTCAGATGTGAGACAAGGTCTCACATCTTTGTCCATCATGGACATGGCATGCCCACCATTGCCTCATGTACTGAAAGACTTTAATAACTCCCCTCTATATGCCATAAGAGAAAATATCCTGTACCTACCTCTATTTTTGAAAATTATTTTTGAGATCAAATAGTAGTTCAGTTATAAAGTTTGTAACTTGGTTATTCACCTCAGTATAGTAAGCACAGTGCTTAGTAAAACTCATACAGAAAGAAAAAATTAAGGAGACATTTTTCAGATGAATTAAAGGAAGGGTTAGGTAGCTAACTGACATAAAATGTTCTAGCTGGGAGCAAGGTAATTATTTGATGATATATAGAAAGAGAGAAGGAAAGAGATTGTAAGAGAAAGTGAATATCCAGACTTTTATCTAGACATCACAATGCTTTTTTTGTGATAAAATCTAATAATTACACCATAATTGAGACTAAACTGCTTACACTATTGAAAATACATATAGAAAGATTGGAATCTACCCTGCAGTTGAGGGTAGCGTAATCATGAAACTGCAGTCACATTACTGCTTCCAAAACAGCTGCCATTTCCTACTCTTAGTAGAGATGAACCTATTTGCACCTTACTATGATACCTATTTTCAAAATGGCTATTTCCTCATGTTGTTTCCATATCATGGAAATCAAGCTGATCCTGAGATGATGATGTCCCCTAATTCTTTCAGAAATTGTGATGGATCAAATCTCAAGGACAGAGAGAGAAATCTTCTCACAAGTCCCCAGACAAGTAACAGCTGCCTTGAAAAAACAAAGGACAGGCAAAATTAAAATTATCAAGAACATAAAGTGTTACAGACCCTTCACTTTAGAGAAAAAGAGTAATTTTTACACTTTGAATTAAAGCATTCTGATCCTTTGCAATGCCACTAAATATAAAACCCCTATCAGAGACATCTAAATCATGTTCTCTTACATTGCGTATTGAAATATTTATCTGACTAGAATCTGTAATTTGAGTTACACAACTATCAGCACTATCACTTTTATGACTGAATGCAATAGGGAAATGGAGAAATCCCCATCTAAAATAATAATAATAGTAATAATGTACAAAATAGCATTTCAGAGTTAACACACTTTAGAGTGAGGGTTTTCTACAGACAGCCCACTGGAGATAACAAGCATCCGGACTCACCTCTGAAACAAGGTATTTAGCAGTAGGTGGATAAAATGGGGGTAAAAGCGAAGAAAAACAGAATTTTGGAGTAGCATTTAAGTTTTGAACAACATCTTGACTCATTTTTCATATATATGACTTAGCATCACTGCAATTGCTTATAAAAAAACCAAAAAATCATGCCCATTTTTGCTTAATTGTGCTCTAATTTTTCTCTAAACTGGAGACAGCATTTATGGTAAGTGTAACCTAATTGATGGTTATAAAATGATGAGAACATTTAGACAGATGTCTGATTCTCCACGGACATTTTTTCTCCAGGAGAAACAAGAAAGGCCTGCAGCCTTAACTGTCTTTTCTGAATTTATGGTGGCAGATCTGTCCATCTGGATTAGTGTCATCTGCCCTTTTAGAAAAATATCAGTGCCTTTAAGGCTTTGAAAGATAAATTATCTATGTGAAGGGAAGATTCTATTTTGACCTACTGATTTTCTTTTCCTATTAGGATAAACTCAAATGAAGGTTTCTCCAAAAAGGCAATTATATTTACAACTTCCATCAAAACTATCCACTAAAAATTTGAAAGCACTAAATGTTATTACGTTTAACACTCCACAGACTGTCCCTAAAATTATAAGGTCTTCCTAAAAAGAGCTAACTTAAAAGGAACTGACAAGGCAAATACGTTATTATTGCAGCTCTGATACTTGGGCAGAATCACTGAAGCTGTCTTTTACCAGAGTCTAAGTGGAACTCCCTAAAGTGGAGCAGTTTGCAAATAGCAATAGCTCTGTCCATTGCAGAAGTATTGCAAAGCTGAAATAAGACAGCAAATACACCCCATCTTTAGGAAAAAAGAGTAATAATTGTCAAATAACTTGCTCACTAGTTCAGCATCTGTAGTTAAATAACAGAGCCTAAATTCTTCTTATAGAAACAGATCCTACTAAAAGATCCACTGCAGAGGTAATATTATGAACATCCTGTAAAAGCAGTAGTTCACAAGTTCAGGCTGGTAACACAATGTACCACATGCACACTGAGACGCTTGCAGGTAACAGCTGGATGTCACTTCATGTGCTATTTCTTTCTTTATGCAAATGCAATAAACTAAATTCATTAACAGTACGATGACACAAATAATATTTTATTAAAGGATGAAAGCGTAGGAGTGCCTAATGTGGATGGTAATGTGCTACTTCCTTCTCCTAGCAGAGAAACATACGTAAGTTACTCTAGGCAAGGAATGACAAATGAAACGCCTGTCCGTTCTTGGTAATGCAGGAAAGACCATCAGCTTCTGTCTAGAAGTTATGTGAATATAAACCATGAAAGATTAGCACAAGCTCTTCCTGCTCTGTTTGACTAGTTACTCTCCATTTCTACAAAGAGATAAAAGAACAAAGGATCTCATAACACAGGATTTTTGAAGGACTATAGGAAAAAAGAAAGGGGTGGGGTGGGGGTGACAAAATCTATTAATTACAGATTTTCATCAGCCCTGGATTAGAGGCCCCATCTTCTTTGAAGGTTCTAATTCACTGAAAGCAGTAAGTACTAGCGCTACAAATAAGAAGGAAGAATGTAAAACTGGGTTCGAATGACATTACCATTTTCCAAGTAACAATCCCAACCACAGAACAGCTAATGTTCTTTCAGCAATTTAGCTTTTCATATATTGTCTTCCCATGGCACCCAGTTAAACAGAAAAAGGTAAATCACCCTAAACTCTTTGTACCTCCTGTGAAAATAGTATACTTACAAACTTGTAGACGAAAGAATGCAAAACAGAAACATAAATCAATGTTTGGATTTTTAAGCTTCCTAACTTCCAAAAATTACATTTCTGCATTTTTTAATTTACAAAGGTTTGTAAATTAAAAGCATTTGAAATTTATAAAAATAATCCAACAGTATGAGTTGGTTACACTAAGTAGACAATTTCAACAGCAGGTATTTATATTTGAAAACTCAGCATTTCCCATTATGAGATAGTCTACAATAAATGAGCAGTCATTGCTCATGCTATACTTCTCTAAACAATAAACTGAAGAAGCCAAATATAATCTCATTTTATGTCTTCAGGCTGACACATCCTATCTAATTTGTGGTATATACTGAAGTAAGCAGAAATACTTTGTTCAGCCTTCAGATGTATAAACGAAGGTATACAAGCACTGATATGTAGTTTTGACTCTGTGTTAGTACACCAGGATACATAAACTGAAAGAAACGTTCTTTTATTTAAACCGATTTACATTGTTGGCTAACTTTCTTACACTGACAGGAAATATGCCCATAATAATGAGATAATAATGAGTTGAATCAGGCATCAGTCTTGTATACTTTCTTGGTTTGAGATTCAGACTACAAAAATTTTAAACTCATTTTTTTAAAAATAAATCAAACCATACCTTCAGATATGATTGCTGTTATTATTGCTTATAAATAGCTCTTTATATAAATCAAAATACAGTCAATAGCCATCTACCTTCTATATCACAAGAGGTTGTTTTCCTCATGGGAATTTAAGATGAGAATGTTGGTAATCAGGAAGGGTTACACTTCTCAGTCAAAAACAGAAAGAAAGAAAACACCTGAAAACTAAAAGATTAAATGCCAATTTCACCAATGGCTTTTAACATGTAGGCTGAAGGAAGCAGAGTTTATAAGCAGTGTATAAGGAGAGTCCCGAGAAGAAGTTGCCTGCAAATTTGATATTTGACAAAGAAATCAAAGATCATCATTGCTCTATTATTAATACTTTGCATAATTACACACAATAAGCTTAAGCTGCTGGAGTCACAAAAGTCTTAAAATGGAAAAAAACTAATATGCATAATCAATCAGCTACCACTTTGGTACTCATTCAGCCAAAACTTGATAGAAAGAAGTATCCGAACAGTAACTTATACATAAAAATGTGTTCAGGGATCTAGCTAACATCTAAAGGCAGTTCAACAATCATTTCACTTACTGGACTGAAAAAAACCTTTAATTGAATTGTAGCACAGTTCTGCAGAAAGTCTACATTTTCATGTACATGCTTAATGTATTTAAAGACATCTGAGTACACTGTGTACAGTGGCACAAGAAAAGGGATCTTACCACTGCAGCTGGAACTTGATGCATTTTTGCAGCCGGCGTTCCTGGGCGTGGGTAAAATTGATTAATAAACAAGCTCGGAAACCTGTATTGCTCTACAAGTTTCATTGTTTCTTGAAAGTCTTCATCTGTCTCTCCTGGAAAACCACAGATGATGTCTGTAGCAATTGTTATTCCAGGCACTCTGTAAAGAAAGTAGAAAGGAATACTGAACTAAGGACACTTAAAAGTCTTGCTCCCTTAAAAGCTAGTGTACATAGAATTACAACTCTTCAACTTTGTCTACAAAAATCGAGACCTAAAATGAACTCTGGAAAAAAAAAAAAAAGGGATTTTAATACCATTGCTTGGTAATAAAAAATGTATTTGGTTCTCAGCTGAGACACACAGAAGAAAGATATTGCAGCAAATATTGGATTAGGATTGTGGCAGAAGAGTGAAAACATCTGGACCAACTCCTCCCTCATTTGAAATTATAGGTGTTCAGCAGATCTTGTAAATTTATTGAATTCTGATTGCTTAATCCACAAAATTTATAACTTCTGAGATTTAGCCACTAGAATTTGTAAACTATTTAATGTATTACAATGCTGCTATCAAAATAGAACAGGATATCCAAAAGAGGGGACTGGCATGCCTTATAACCTAGCAATTTTGAACAAAATTGGGTTTGGAGCCAATAAGACATCTCTTAGTCACGAGTTAATTTCTAACTCAGCCCTCCATAAAATCAGCCTATGCCTTGCTTTAAAAGGAAAACAAAACACTTAGGTTTACAAACGCACAGGCACCAAGCCCTCTTGTTATTTGGCAAGGTCAACATTTCCTAACTGTTCCCCTTGGAATGAATATGCAGAAACCTTCCACACAGAAGGGGGTGAAGTCAGGGGCCCTCAGTTGAGATTGTGCCACAGTAAGAGTCTTAGACACCGTGGTAACACGTCACTGAGCATCTTCCCCAGCAGATGTTGGAGTAGACGTCCCCGCTAGGGTCGAGGCTTGCATCCAGACTGAGCTTCCGATGGTGGATGCAGCCCTCCAAGTCGCAGGCTGCAGGGAGTTCCTGGGGGCTCGCTCTGGTGCCTGGAGGGATGGCCCTCTGTCCTGCAGTAGCTGGGGTGTCTTGGAGGAGCTGTGCCTCCAAGTGGAGGAGTTACGGGAGGAAGTGATCAGGCTGCATAGCATCAGAGAAGATGAAAGGTAGATAGGCAGGACCTTCTCTGCAACTCAACAGCTTGAAGACCCTCAGCCCTCATCTGCAATAGATTAGTAGGTAGTGTCAACCCCCACTACCAAGCGAAGCGAAACCTCTGGAGAAGGGGAAGGATGGAAGCTGGTGACTTTTGACACCAAAAGGAAGGATCTTGTCAGATCTGGCCCACCTAATCCCTAAACCACACAAGACTACCAGAAAGAAGTGGTGAGTCTTCATAATGGGCGACTCCCTGCTGTGGGTGACACAGGCACCCACCTGTGAACCCAACCAACCATCTAGAGAGGTTTGCTGTCTGCCAGAGGCCAGGATCGGGGATGTTGTGGGGCTCATAGGGCCCTCTGACTACTACTCTCTGCTGTTATTTCATGTGGGCACAAATGATACTGTGAGTGGAAACCTGGACAGCATTAAAAGTGACTACAGAGATCTGGGGGGCAATAGTCAAGGGCATGGGGGCTCAGGTGGTGTGCTCCTCATCAGAAAACACTGAGGGTGACTGAGCCCTGGCACGTGTTGCCCAGGGAGGTTGTGGAGTCTCCCTCCGTGGAGATATTCAAAAGCGGTCCTGGGCAATTGGCGCTAGGTGGCCCCACTTGAGCAGGGGGGTTGGACAAAATAAGCTCCAGAGATCCCTTCCAATCGCAACCCTGCTGTCATTTTGTGACATGGTCCAGAAAAATGAGTCCTACAACCAAGAGATTACTGCATGGTATTTACAGAGCACTCTGTGGGACCCAGGAGATATCCACTCAGTTTTCCAAATCTGACACTAGCCAGCTGGATGACCACTGCCCCATGAGAAACCGGGAAATCACAGCACTGTTTTGTATTCAGCCTGCTTGTGTAAAGTGGGAATAATGATAAACCTCTTCTGCAGAGAGGCAGAAATGTATAGAGCTCAGAAGTACTCAGTGCTCCCTGCTGACACAGATGAGACTGTTTCTACAACACAGAGCTGATTCTACACTATCAGTAACAATGATGAACTGGAGAAAATATGATTTATGAGGAAAAGTAAGAACCCTATGAAGATACTGGTGGTATCTGACTTAAAGCTGGCCCTGTTTCAAGTGGAGGGAATAGATGAGATGACTTCCAGAGGTCCCTTCCAACCTAAATGATTCTACAGTTCTTAAGTAGGCTGCAGGCAAGGGAACAGTTGAGACAGATTCTTTTAGGGGTGAATGGCATAAAGACCACTGCCACAAGCAAAGCTTACACCTGAGCTTAAGAAGGGGTCTCCAAGACTGCCTCCAACCTAAATGGCTCGAAGGCTTCTCTTCCTTTCATCAGGACAAGAGATAGCAGAACTGTAAATACAAATGCACATAATCCAAATGACATTTATAAAGCATTTGAATGGCCAATGATAACTATAATTTCTTATTAAACAGTACATCACCACAGAAAAAATAATGCTGTGGTTACAGTGGGTGAAGAAACTTGAGTTTGAATAGCTGAAAGAAAAACTTCCTGCAACAATGAGCTCTACTGGAACAGGAGAATCTGTTGGCAAAAGACTCAAGAAAGGGGAAGCAGAGAATATTGTTCTTAGTAATTTGATTAGCTGCAATATTAGAGCATGCATAACTTATATTCACCACAGCGGCCTTCATACAAACAGTATATGGTAGTAAATACATTTTGTGACTTTTTTTTTTTTTAAATAAAAAGAAATAAATTTTTTATTTAAGTTTTGGCAATAAGCTTATTTAAAGCAAATGTCTTGGCCTCCTTTTTTACATGTGTCTGCATATATAGTTAGCTGCACAGGAATTTATTAGACATTATATTGTTAGAATCTTCTTTCAGATTTTCCTTAAGAAAAATCCCCACCAAACAAACCAAATTCTTTTAATTCCTTTTTGAGTTCATGAATTCAGACTCTACCATTTGAGATTAAGTTAAAATATTGCATCTGACTGCGAAATCAAAACCATTATAAAACTGAACACTTTCAAGGACTTGGCCCAATAATCATAAGTGGGAAACACAAGCTGAATATTTCACAGAACAGCAAAAATCCCTAGAGCTATTGGCTAAAGAGCCTCAATTACTATCGCTTTCTTAAGACTGACAAACTGCAAGATACGAAATTCTACTTGATATCAAGTAACAATAAAATTTGTTAGCTTTAATGACTAAGTGAACAGAGGAGCACTGTATTCTGCAACATGATTTTGTTCACTTCACAAATACCTTGTGCAGTAATAGTAAGCTTATGAAAGAAAAAGTACATTACTATATAAATCAGTATCACATAACATATAACATCAGCTGCCATTTCTCAGAACATGAACAGAACATTCATTACGTTTGACAAAACCATTTTAATGAAGTTATTTTAACCATTCTAATGACACTACTGGCAACAGTCAAAGCATTTATTACCAATGGTAGTAGTAATACCATCCTTTATAAAGGTTTGGTTGTTTCTATAGCAACATGAATTATAAGGTCCAATCAAGCTAGATACAATAAAATATGCTCTTTTTCTCCATAACACCAGTTGTCTTTCAGTTAAAAGGAAATTACATATTTTAAAAATTCATCAACTCTACAAATGTCTGAACTCCATTTGGTGATAAGGTGTTAATTATCTTAGTAATTAGATTTCTTCCTGGATGGAATTATTACACACAAAGAAAAGCTAGGGTATGAAAAGAGAATAAGGACCACAGTGTATTCAGCAACAGCAATTAATTACAGTTCAATCCAGTATGACTGCCTAAAATATGACATTGCACAGTACATTTTTAGACTGATTAGTTGATTATATTGTTTAAAAAGTAGTTTTAAAAGGGGAGAAAAGCATGAGATTTCATCACTCAGAATAAAATCCTGTTACTGACAAAAATCAAGCTCTTAGCCTTTCTCAAAGCACTGGCAAACAAAAATAACTACTGTTAGTTCCACATACGAAACATAATTTCTTAATGAAAAAAAAGGGGAAAAAAGATATAATTGTGGAAAAAAATATAAAACACATATACACTTGAAAATTAAAGTGACCTTTGCTCTGACAGTCTGAAAAAAAGCAGCACAAAATTCCTTATTGCATAGATTCAGATGTTTAAAAAATTGTCCCAGCTATGAAATACCACGCAAAACTACACAACAACCAATTTCTTGTGCACCAGCCAACATTAAATTGTTTTTTGAAATGAAATGCAGTTTATCTATTCTGAAGTAAACAAAGAAAAAACTGCTGAACATCCCCAGTAAGCATTTTGTAACATTTATTACATAAATGCATTTACAGTAAGTCTAAAAATTCAATGGCAGCAAATGTTTTCTAGGGTCAGTAGAGAAGCTCCACAACACATTGTTCAGTGAATCAAGAACACACAGTGGTCCTTATGAAAGATAAAACAATTTTTAAAAAGCAGAAAGTTGCTTCAAACATGTAGAAGTCCAGATGCTCCTTACAGCTTAGATAATGGAGGTTATCAGTCTGTTTCAATACTTTTGAGCATAAAATGACTTAAACTTTGCCAGCCATTTTAAGCCCTCATAATCCTGACAAATGCCTAGAAAGATTGTGTGCAATCATTTTATCTGGCCATCATAAATCTTGCAAGATATTTTCTCTGAAGACATACTATCGTCTCCATTCACTCAACTCTAGAAACCAAGAAAAAAGAGTCCCAAGTCAACAATAAAATTGTGGAATTTCAGAAAAAGATGAATGTGAGGAATAATCAAGGCCGTGTATAAGATAATACGGCCCCACTACTTAGGGTTCTTCAACATTCTCTCCTTTACATCACTCAACATAGACAAATCCCTTCCATCCACTCAAGCAGATTTCTGTTCTGTCATCCTGAACCAGACCAGCAATACAATCACCATCATCTTGGGCAGTTCTGACCATCCAAAGAGAAGCAACAACTTCATCTTACAGTGAAGAAGTGTCCTTCTTAGTGTGATGTTGTAAGGACCAGCACACCTAGAAATAATCATGAACA